TACAATACAATGTCAAATTGTGTCAATAAACACAATATCCAAGATATATAATCCAATGTCAAATTGGTATAATAAATAAATATACGTCCGTTCGGGGAGACTAAAATCAAGCAGTTGCGTAAATTTAAATATCTGGAAAGTGTTCTGGCAGAGGATGGTTCTTTCTTTCTTCTTTCGTTTTTTCTTTTTTTCCTTTTTACTTACTCTCTTCTTTCGTTCTTTCATTCTTTCTTCTTTCGTTCTTTCTTTCTTTCTTTTTCAGTTTATATTTTTTGCCTCTTTTCCTCTTCATTATTTTTTCTTATCCATTCTTCATTCAATTTTTTTCATTGTTTCTTTCCTATCAGACCATCACTTTTCTTCCTTCTTTAAACAATAATTCTTCATTCTTTTTACTTGTTTGTTTTTCTTTTCTTTCTTTTTTCTTTTTCTTTATAAGCTTCTTTTTTCTTCTTTTTTTAACTATTTTCCTAACCGTCCCATCTCTTCTCTTCTTTCTTTTTTCATTCTTGTCAGCCTTCTTTCTTTCTTTATCTTTCTTTATTTCTTTCTTTCTTTACTTCTTTCTTTAGCAAGCCTTTCTTTGTATTCTTTCTTTCTTTCTTTCTTTCTTTCTTTCTTTCTTTCTTTCTTTCTTTCTTTGCTTTTGTCCTTGTCTTTTTTGGGGCCGGTATTTCCCGCCCTTGGCCTTTTTATTCTGTCATTCATTTAAAATTCACTGCTATCAGTTTTTTCTTCCATACTTCTCAGTTTCCATGTTTTACCCGATATCTGGATTTTTTTATTCCCTTTTTATATCTTTTTTACATTTTTCCTTTATATCAATTGGCTACAATAAAAGCTGGTCTAACATTGTCTAACGAACATTAACACAGTAATGAGGCATCTTTCTTCCATTTATTTCATCGATTTGATAAATGATATCTACTTAGCTTACCATAACCAGACAAAAGGTCGCAGTAATAAAGATATATAAGAAGATCGCATTCTTTGCTGATTTTTTGCTGATTTCAGTGCAGGTTTCTTTGCTGATTTCTTGCTTGATGTTAACACAATGAAATTATGATTTCACAGATCCACATCAATAGATATAAATTTCAGTTATATTGATTTCTTTATTGTTTATGATACATTGGCCTAGATTATTTGCGTTGTTGTCGATCTAACAAAACAGATTTTCTGCAGATTAGTAGTTGACTAAGTGTTGATAGCAGATACAGAAAGAAAGCTAGAAAACTCCTACAGAAGTTAGTCTTTTTACAGCAAGGTTCACTCTGTACAAGGTCGAAGTCCGACCCGAGGTAGAGAGTTAAGATAGAAGGCAGTTTCTACGGATAGGAGAGGAAGATAACTGTTAACCCTAGACTTGATCAGGTAAAGAATGTAGTGATCAAGGAAATACCCTCTTGGGAGTCGGTTGCCCAGAGCAGTGATTTGTGGGAAGAAGTTTGCTTGAGTGTAAATGACTTCACACTGCTAGAACTGGCGGAACAAGTCAATGTATTTCGTCTGAGCACTTTTCATGGAAGTAACGCGTCCGAGGTATAACGATAACCTACATCCACGTCCAGGGTAAAACGATAAACTGCGTCCGACAGCAAGGCCTATGATCAGGAGGTTTTGAGGCGCGTGGAACCAACTCTTAGTTGCTGGTGTTCTCAGGTCCACTCTGACCCGAGGTGGTAGCAACTGTTAGGGTCCCAACTATAGGCAAATAGTTAACCCCAGTTTGGGGTTAAAACACCATGAAAGTGTAAAAATAGGTTGTAATACCTAATATACATTGTAAAAAAATATTACCAGCAATATATTTAAAAAAAAAAAAATATTACCAGCGATACATTTTGGAAGAAAAAATATTATCAGCAATGCATTTTTGAAGGAAAAAAATATTACCAGCAATTTTTAAAGGAAAATATTACCAGCAACATAAATTGTCGGCATTAAATAACCCATTGTGCTTGATATGCCGTGAAAAACAAACAAACCAAAACCACGGAGGTAGCGATGGAGGATCGCTGTGAGAGAGGGGAAGAAAGTGAGTGGAACCTAGAGGCTTGTCACATCCCAGGGGAAGAAAGTGAGTGGAACCTAGAGGCTTGCCACATCCCAGGGGAAGAAAGTGAGTGGAACCTAGAGGCTTGTCACATCCCAGGGGAAGAAAGTGAGTGGAACCTAGAGGCTTGTCACATCCCAGGGGAAGAATGTGAGTGGAACCTAGAGGCTTGTCACATCCCAGGGGAAGAAAGTGAGTGGAACCTAGAGGCTTGTCACATCCCAGGGGAAGAAAGTGAGTGGAACCTAGAGGCTTGTCACATCCCAGGGGAAGAAAGTGAGTGGAACCTAGAGGCTTGCCACATCCCAGGGGAAGAAAGTGAGTGGAACCTAGAGGCTTGTCACATCGCAGGGGAAGAATGTGAGTGGAACCTAGAGGCTTGTCACATCCCAGGGGAAGAAAGTGAGTGGAACCTAGAGGCTTGCCACATCCCAGGGGAAGAAAGTAAGTGGAACCTACGGCCCATCGATGGAATGTGGTGGTTTGTTACAATGTAATCGGCATGTCGTATCTGCTGCGAAGGTTAGGCCTGGCGAAACCAAGGAATGTAGTTCGCCCGAGCACATTCCGTGTAAGTAACGATGGACTATCGAGAGGCTTCACACCGCAGGCTTGTGAGAGTGAGATTAGAGGCTGGAAAATAATCCATCACCCAAAAGGTCGCTATCAATTCTGATAAGTTCAGCATAATATGTATATATATATATTGTCCTTCTCCTAGACCAGTTGCCATCCAAGGCTATAGAACCCAGTCTATCCTGCTATTTTACCCATAGCTGGCGGGAGGATTCATACCTTTCCCCAGGGTAAAGCACGTAAGTGGAATGGATTCGACTGAATTCGAACTCGGCTCTGCGATTCCTCAATCAAGCCGCTATACATTACTCCACCGTGCCTCCTCTGAATTCAAAACCTGCGGAGGGTCGTTTGGGTACCTTGTGGCATTCACGGTCCCATTCGTCCCTTCAAAAAGTGGATGGTCCTGCACGAAGCCTTCACCACTATAATCAAATCTCATGTGCCCGGTGTCGGGCTGTCGGTTTCCTGAAACTGATCTGCTTGACCCTCATACGTCGGATCTCGACAGGAGAGTCGATTATATATATATATATATATCAGGGGCGGAGATGGGACTAGTGCTACTCGTGCCCGGCACGACCAATAACTCGGTCAATGTTATTCAAAATGGATTAAAAATCATCCATTAATTTCAAGCAAACATACTTAGGCTGATCTCAATTAAATTACGTATCTATTCAAGTTTCGATAACTAAGTAGCCAAAAGTTCATAAATATATCTGGGAATAATACAACGATGCTGTTTTGAACGGATGGCCACCGTCAGATCTATTGAACATCCCATAATATCGGCTATAATGTTCAGCAATCCGTGCCAAGCACAAGAAAAGCTTATATAATAACAAATGTTAGAAAGTCTCGCTTTTGGCTGTAGCCAATGGTGGCAAAATCAAGTCAAAATACCGTGCTCAGAACAATTAGTCTTGTCCTGCTGATGATTGTCCAAAGAGAGAGAGAGACCGAGAGAGGAGAGATAGAGTAGTAGTAGTAGTAGTACGAATAGATGTTTGTAAACATAACTACGTTTATTTATATTGTAAATATCAGTGATGAAGTTATTGTTTCATTAATTAATTAATAAAGAACAGGTTTTGAATAATTTGTTGTTTTTTTATTGAGGAATGTTTTTTTCGTGAATTTTGAATCATCTACGAAAAATACTATTAATATAAAATAATAATATTAATATAAAATGACATACAAACCGTATTTTTCGTAGATTTCTATGATTCAAAATTCACGAATAAACCATTCCTTAATAAAAAAACGATTGTGAAGTGCTAATAAAAAATCATTTAATTATTTTATAATTCCATGAGACAAATGACCTGGAGAGTTTGGACTTAATTGCTAACCTGGTTAGTTGTCATTGTCATCAATTTCTTTTTTTCTAATAAAGATATTTTTCTCGTCATTAATGAACATCTTCTCTTTTCTTCTATACTTTTGAAAGGAAAAAAAAATCTACTGTATTAACAAGACTACAAATTATATAGTATCTTGATTGTTTACAAAAAACCACCATGCAAGGTGTTAGTCAATCTGGCTATACAATGGAGAATCACGCAATAGCAACTGATGACTTACTTTGGGTCCACTCCACGGGTTGGGAACTTGACAGGAGGGGGGCATTAGTATAAAATAGGCTAGAGTATATATATATATATATATATATATATATGTGTGTGTGTGTGTGTGTGTGTGTGTGTGTGTGTGCGCGCGCGCGCGCGCGTCCGGGCGCGATGGTTAAATTGTCGTGTAAATGACGCCAAAATGAAAATAACGTCTCATTTTAACAGATATACAGGTTGCGATGGTTAAATTGTCGTCTAAATGCCGCCAAAATAAAAATGATACTGACATCTCATTTTAACAGAAATATTTACCAAAATTACACAAAAATCTTGAAATATGAGAAAGTAAATTTAGTCAATAAAATCAACATCAAGTCCAACCACGGCCACCAGACGACTTCGAAATCTCCTGCAACTCTTATGGATGGTCTCCATGTTTAAGTTGGTGAATGCTGCCATAATCCTTGCCTTCGGTTCATCTGAGCGCCATAACTGGGTTCTCCTGCTTGTGTGGCATGGTTCAGCGTCCATCCAACTTTTTCCGAATCCTCTGCACTGTACCCAGATTGACACCCAAACTCTCTAAAATATTGGTATTGGAGCTTTTGGCCGTTTCCAAATATATGGCGGATTGAATTGTATCATGGTGGGCTTCTTCTCAGAGACGATGCCCAACTATACCTACTATAATGCACTGTCGACAAAATCAAAAATCGCGCATGCGCGAAATTAAAAATATAAAATGGCGACAATTTATCCCTGTATATACATATATATATATATATTCTGTTCATGACCCTTCTGCATTCCTTTGCATGGCTGATGCTAACGTCCTTAAGAGTGCCTAGTTACGTCATTTCGTGCTAACATTCTTTGCTGACATGGAATGAAAATATTATATTGAATCAATTGGAATCCCTGCAATAGCCGCAAAATTACCGAAGTTAAGCAACGTCGAACCTGGTCAGTAGCTAGGTCGGTGACCGTTTAAGAATACCATATACTGTAAGCTTGCGTGTAAGATTGGTGTAATGGATTAACAGTCGTTAGTATTTATTCGCTATATTTTATTTACAGAATAAATATTAACGGCTTTCTTAAAAATGACATTTCCTTTCTTACTCTTTTAATCAAGGGAAACACGAAAAATTAGAGAAATCAAATATTTCAACACACACACAAATACACATACACACAGTTCTTTCTTTAGTTTTTTGATCTGATGAAACCTAGAAAGGCGAAACGCGTAATCAAATTTATTTTCAGTTAAACGTTTTCTATTTTATATATCTTTTATCTGGAACAAAAAAATGGAAAAATTGTTTGACGTTTCTCGTTACACTTGGGAGTATAGAAAGAAATGAATGGATGGAATGTGATGGCGTGACATGACAGGTTTTCAGACAACTTCGATATCAACGAACGATGACAGATTAGAGCAAAGCCCTTGTCGGAACCAAATCCCAGGCCAATGTCTGCCTGTAGCGTCAGAGAAAATTGTTAGTGGTACAGAAGTAGGAGATGCATTTTCGAGTAAAAAAATGTATATTTTTCTTTTAGATGGAAGTCTGGTACTATGTTGTCTGACATGAACATATATAAAAAGCATCAATGATAATCTCAAAATAATTTAGAAACAGAATCATATATATATATATATATATATATATATATATATATATATATATACACACACATATATATATATATATATATATATATGTGTGTGTGTGTGTGTGTGTATATATATATTTATATATATATATATATATATATATATATGATTCTGTTTCAAAACGCTATGCTCTAAATTATACATACATATACGTGTATATATATATATATATATATATATATATATATATATATAAAATATACATTTTTTCCAAAATGATCTAGAGCATGGCCCTTTGAAATAGGATCATATATATATGTGTGTGTGTGTGTGTGTGTGTGTGTGTGTGTGTGTGTGTGTACAAGTTTCATGAAAAACGATTGTTCTTGTGTTCTTATAATTTTCTTTTTTTCTGGGCGTAAATTATGTAGAAATTTACCAAATGCTTTGCATCTCCGTGCGCTTTCGGCTATTCATTTAGCTGCATCATACTCTTTCATAATAGAAATATAATAGCCTCATCCACATGCAAAATAGGTTAAAAATAACGGAAACATTATTAATAAAAAAAGGAAGAGAAAAGCCCAGACTCAATAATATCAACTATGAACAGGGCCATAATGTGCTGACCGTGTTTGGAAAATAAAACATTCCTTTAGATACAAACATAAAACAATTAATACATTCAGTTAATAATAAAAATAAAATGATTCTTGATAACGGCTCAAAGTCGCACTTGACCCCAAGTTGAAATTATACATACATCACTAATGTGGCCGTTAAAATTTACCTCCGCAGCAGATACCTCTGACTTCTCACGCTATATTCAACCTGGCGAAAGTGGAGAACTGTTTTTATATTTGGAGGGCGGAGGGTGGGATGTGCCTACTCTTTACTTTCCCTTCTTGACAGAGTTGAAAAGTGTTCACGAGTCCTTATTGAAGAAGAATTATTTTGTACTCTCCATCTTCTCTCTCACAGATGGGATGTGGCAAACCTCGCACAGCTCTATCGCTATTTCCACGGAAAGTGCTCAGACGAACTATATTCCTTGCTTCCGCCTGGACTAACCTTCACGAATAGGAGCCGCCATACCACAGACATAGTAGCAAAACACTGAGATTTCCTCCATAATCGACTAGTGAGAACACCTCAAACAGCCTCCTCTCATGAAACACTGCTCTGTGAAACCGACTCCCAAGAGGATGCTTCCCCGATTACTACAATCTTTACCTGTTCAAGTGTAGAGTTAAACGTTATCTATCCGTATAAACTACCTCTTAACGTAACCCTCTGCATCGAGTGGCCCTCCCCTGGACACAGATTGAACCTTACTGTAAAACATATAATAAAATAAAACAAAACAAAGTAAACAGTTGCATCATACGCATTATTACATTACGTCAGTTCAGTTTAGTGAAAGCTGGAAAAACAAACAAACGATCAAAAAGCAAACGGCGAGAAAATAGCGTTCCTTTAGAATTATGATAACCAATGAGAATGCTTAGATCTGGGATCGAGAACCAGTGAAATCAGAGATGAATGGAGCTGTTTAGCTTATCTCATGAGATTGTCTCTGAGAATCTCTGAAAAATATATTTTTTTTTTAACATGATGGTGACCGCTGATTATGGAAGTGTTACTACTGGTAATGTACAAAATTATATGAGTCTGCT